TGCATAAAGCTTTACTGACTGGATTTCCTTCTTGAGTAACATGGCACTTTTCCAGCTTAGTTGAACTACACAGTTACTTTTCCAAAAAAATAAAGTACGGTATGCATTTAGTAAGCAGAAGTGTGTGATCTTTTTTGTATTTACATAACAAGCATATAAAGGCTCTCTAAATAATTAAGCTGCCGCTGTTGAGTGACAGTAATCAAACTCACACACGACTTTATGGATACACACACACAAAGCATGTTAGAAATATACAGTATATATGTCTTTATGATCTTATAAATATATAAAGAAAGGCGCTAGATCCAAATTGTAAGATTCATAAAGTTATATATCATTTAATAGATTGAGGGAAGTAAACAAACAAACAAAGAATAAAATAATCACAACATGCCAATATAAAACTCATCATATTAATTCCCTAATCTGTGAAGCCTCAGAAGTTTCCTAACTGGCCCCATATATTTTAGCAAAGCACTATTCGAATAATATCTATAGTTATCAAAGGTGGGAAGAAAGGGAGGTGAAGTGATGATTGACTGAATTAATGTGATGGAACAAACATACACACACATACACACACATACACACATACACACACCAGCACAAACAATAAGCTCATACCTAAATCTACTTATTATTTTAAGTTTTTCTTTTGCAATCATTTGCCTTCTTTCCCACACTCCACAGTTCCCATTTATAGAAACATACTCATGCCCAGCCTCCACACCACTAACAGAAATCATTATAAAAATCATGAGAAACCAGACCAGAGGATCCAGAGGATCCCAGACCCAGGAATTTCACACTACTGCACTAGATCAAAAGCTTCTAAAATAGAGCTGCACTTTCTATTAACTTCAGATCCTTGTATGCTAAATAATGCACATTAAATATATCTTGAAATCATTATGTTCATATAGACAGTTGTTGTTTTTCTTTACGTTTGTATGCAGTGCAGATTTAGCAGGATTCTTTTATATCCTGTGCCATTTCTGGAGCCTGTTTGCCAGTCCTGCCCTGCCGAGAGACACTGGCACATGAAGAAAGGGAGCAGGATTGGGAGGAAAGAAAGATGAGACGGAGTCGGATACTCTAGAGATGAAGTTTGCTCGCGTCATTCCCTGCAAATGCTGTCTCTTTGTTAGAAAGGACTTAGAGCTGATGAAGAAATCTCAAGGGGGAAAACAAAATGGCAAAATAATTCAGCAGGGGTACATGGTAATAATAACAAGAACCAATCCAACCATTCAGAAGAGGACAGAGGAGAGGAGACAGAAGGAAACATTTAAAACTCAGAGGAGGAACAACATGTGACTATTTTACAGCAAACAAACCAGGACTGCTATCTCTCTTATGATTTAGTTTGTAACCATTTCAGAGTTTCATTTTGGGTCAACTGTGTGCTTTCTAGTTGATACGCCAGGAAAACATTTGTTTCTGACTTTGTGTGCTGATGCAGGTCAACAGCATGACTCAGCTTTGCCTGTGTGTCTGTATATGCATGAGCGTGTGGTTCCACACTTCCCTCGGGTTGCCACCCCAGCACCGAGGGTGGCTGCGGCTGTGGGAGGAGGGCGAGGGCTGTAGGGAGTGCAACCAGCACCTCTGCCCCTCAGTCCCCGACAACTGCCCTGCAGGTCGGGTGCACGACGTCTGTGGATGCTGTGAACAATGTGCAAACGTAGAGGGGCAGCAGTGTGACCCAGATGGGGCTCAGAAGTTCTATGGCCGCTGTGGAGAGGGCTTGGTCTGCCGGAGGAAAATACCAAAGGGGGGACACAGGGCTGAGCCAGAGCCAACATGTGTGTGTCAGGAAAAGGGCCCTGTATGTGGCTCAGATGGCTGGACCTACCCGAATGTTTGCCAGATGAGAGAGGCTGCCAGCCACTGTAATACAACACTCAAGCTCACTGGAAGAGGACCTTGCAACTCTGGTTACGTTACTCTTTGTTATCAGTCCAAGAAAGTTCAGATTTTTTAAATTTCAGTGCATGTGTATGTTGTCTAGACAACTTTAAGGTTCCTAGTATTGAACCTTGGGGTACTCCTTTCCTTCTGCCGCAGCTCCCCGTATCCTTCAAGGCCCTAGAAACCTGTTCAACTACACCGGGAATGACATTGTGTTTGGCTGCGAAGTCACAGCCTACCCCCTTCCAAACCTGAGCTGGAGGAAGACAGGGAGTGACAACTTCTTGCCAGGAGATGATCCTCACATCTCAGTCCAGGTTTGATAAAAGCTTCACTTATTATGCATCACCGAACATTTCATTAACAATATATGCTTTGATTGAATTGTGACCTGTTGGGTCTATAATCTTCAGTTTAAGGGTTTTTCCCTTTTGTAATGCCTTCTGTGGCCCTGGAGTGAGCTTTCCAAAGTCTGAAAAAATAACCCTAATGATATCATGAAAGACACTACAGGTCCCATTATAAGAAAAGGATCCAGTGTTTTTGGAGTTTGACCCATACTATGGAATAAAAAAGTCAGGCTCTATCTGCCTCTACTGGATGTTTTTTTTTCTGTGTTCCTAGGCGGAGATGAGAATCACACACTCACTGTGTCATACACTGGCTAATTTCTTGCCTCTGAATAGATTTATATAATCTGTTGAGATTTAATTCTGTGTTTATTTCAGGCTAGAGGTGGCCCCCAGCGCTTCACTGTCTCTACCTGGCTTCAGATACAGGGCCTCCACATTTCTGATGCAGGGGTCTACTCTTGTATCTCTCACAATTCTTTGGGAGAAACATCTGCATCAGCACAGCTTACAGTGTTGAGACAGGGTGAGTCTCTGTGCACCATACTGCAGAGTCAGGCTGTTGACTGTAGTCAACAGTAGGATTTTGTGCTTAAGCAGTGTGCTAAACAATACAACAACAAAATAATTAGTTAAAAAATAAGAAACTGTATATTCTTACACCAAAATTGTCTTATCTGCTCTCCACCGATGATGAAAGGCTCTGCTGAGGAGGAGCAGGAGTACTTCAGTCATTTGGAAGAAGACAGTGATGGACATCTGGCATCTGGAGATTACCTGGGATTAATTTAAATCAGTTTATATGACCAGACAGCAAGGAGGCCTGAGGAAACAAATCTATAAACATAACATAAAGGATCATTTTACATATTTTAATTGTAATTACATGATGTTTGTCAGTCACAGCTCAATGCTCATTTGTCAGAGGAATCTCTTCATTAAATAAAAATTATAATTAAACATCACATCTGCTTTTATTCATCTTTTAACTGTAACCTTGGCACACAAATATATCACTCTCGTTAATTGCTGTGTGGAGTAAATTTGTATGATTATAATAACAACTTCCTAGGCTAACACTGGCATACTACTCTAAAGGCATATTTGGATGCTGTTACAGATGTGGATGCCATATCACAAACCATAAAGCTGTAGAGCTGTAACAAGGGAAACTGCTGACTCATCTTCAAAACATTTATTTTGAACTAATGTAAATCACAGATACAAGTGACCCCTAACTTAAAGCTTCCCCCTGTTTTAACCACTTCACCTGAAAATATACAGCACATTCGTTCACAAGAAAAAAAGAATGATGGATGGAGAGAGAGAGGGTGTGACCATCCACAGGGTCTCCGTCTGATTCTCTTCATCTCTCTCCACCTGAGTGCCAGTTAATCCTCCCCTCATCCCCTGACTCCCAGCTGGATACACCGGCTCCTTCTGAATGGCAAGCTGCATTAACGCAGAGGAACTTTCCCCCGCTGTCTGTTAGTCAAAGCTGATTGGAGATTACGGGCCTGCGGAGAAAACACAGCCCTCCATCCTCCATCTCATCTTAAATCACTTTCCACCCTTTTTTTCTCTTTATCTCTCCTTCTCTTCATTTCTTTATCTTCTTAATCCTAACTCTCCTCCTTTTTCAATGTCATCAACTTTTACTTGCCACTAAATCTTTGCCCCTATTCAGTGTTCTTTTTTGACAGCTGAATGACAAGAAAGATGAAGAGGAGGAAAAGGGAGAGAGAAAAAAAAGCTTCCCCTCCTGAGTGGAGCCAGAATGATGTCATGGGGGCATTTGTCCTCCTGGTGTGGAGGCTTCCCTTCCCCTGCTAATTACCTTGTACAAACTCGAATCTGATATGGCGGATATGAGGCCCAAATACAATTATTGTGGGCTAACAAAGAGATATTGAGATTCAGGGAATGAGGGAGAGACTGCAAGTGAGATAGAAGGAAAGGCACGCGCACGGCCATGCATGCACACACACATGCAGCAACCACATGCACGCACACACGCTCACATACCCACCCACACACACACAAACACAACCACTTGTCCTTCCCCTCCATTCCCTCAGATAGGCTAATGTTATTACTGGGGTAATTATCCTCATTAGTGCCAGCAGCTGTAGAAAGCCCATTGCTTGCTGTTCAAACTCCATCCCGAACCTTTCTATCTTCACATCCCTCTTTGTATTCCCTAGATCTCATTTAGAGACTTTGTCTCCATCCTTTGCATGCCAGCCAGGTGGAGGCGGTTGTAAAAATAGAGCCCCATCAAATATCTAATAAACCAGAGTTACTCCTGTTTTCTAACCTGTTAGAGTCCATTTTGTGGAAGAGGGTTACTATTGTGTACTGTGCTGCAGCACTAAACCACAGAAAGCTACATTCAAGCACTGAACAGTGTGCATAAAAAGGAAAATAATTAGAAGAAGCCTAAAGTGTACAGTATTTGTAAAATAGTTCATAATTTTCTGTCATAAGACAAGGTGGGTTAACAAGAGATAAGTTATTTTGATGAAAACTACAAGTATTTTCCATCCGTCATTTCTGAGTTGAACAATTGAACACAAGATGGCACTGTTTAGTCAAATAACCACCGTAATGCTTGCCAGTGACTGTGCTTTTACTTTGACAGCTAGATCTTTGAACATTGCTATCTCTTCTTGTCTGTTTTATGTTTTTCTGATTTACATCCCTCAAAAAAAGCTGTTCTCCACAAAAGAAAATTAGCTGTCATCCTTGGATGCAATGACATTTTCCCAGTGGGATAGCTATGAAGAGTTGAGAATAATAGGGTTTGCATAACTAAAGGTATTGCCTGTTTATTTATTTTTAATGTTTATATGAATGCACCCTGAAAATGATTCCCTTCACGCTTTTTAACTTTATCCCCTCTCTGCATCTTTACACACAAATTATGAGATCAAGAAGTGAAACAGGCGGCTTTACACACAGCATCCCCACCGCTCTGTGAGATTGCCTTTTGTTTTATTGCCAGAGGCTGGTGTGGACAGTAGGTAACCTGTATACTGCTAAGCCCCGCATCAGGCGCTAAATGTCATGCATAGCCTGTTTTTATTGGCTGATATAGCCTGTTGTGCCCTTCTCCTTTTCCTGGAAGCCATTGTTAAAGAGCTGGTTGTTAATGCTGCTGACCAGATGGGCTCCTTCTCCCCGCAGCTCTGACTGAGGGTGTTTACCATGCACTGGGCTGTGGATAACAGGTGAGACTGCTGTTGGCTTGTCAACCAATCAGAGAGCAGCAGATGTCTGGCTTTTGCCTGTAAACCTTTATTTGGCATTTGGGGCCTTATGGGAGTGGGTTTGATAATAACACTGAATCAAAGTGAACTCTGGTTTATATGTTTCTTTACATGAGGCAATTATGTGAATGGTCATGCAAACCATGATGGTGAGTCCCCATGCATATTCACTCCAAAACCTCCCTGAGCCCTGTACACTGAATATATTTTGTATGTAAGAATCTTTAGTTAAATAGAGCTGAAGTAGCTAATGATTCAGATAACAAACTGCCCAGCTATTTAATTTTCCCTTCATAAAGTTCAACTATCATTTCCACAGATGCTCCCTTGTCCCTTGTGTAGCAAAATGTTTCCAGCATTAGCTCATGGGCAAACAGTGAACATTCCTTTCCCTTTCCAATGCAGGCCATCTTGCATCACTGCAATTATCATGGCAACAGCAGAGGTAAGGCCAGGTCTTGTTGAAGAGTAGTCTTTTAAAGCTTTGAATCAATCTGCCTTAATGGATGACCTAGACTCTAGCATACATCTATGGATTAGTTTGACTGGAGCACCTGTCCCTGTTCTGTCAACAGCAGATCAGGTTACTGGCTACACATTCACCTGGCTGACACAATTTCCTGTGATTGACAATATGCCAGTCTTTGTTCACAAGACTGACATCGTATGTAGAATTATGAAAGTTGCAATAAAACAAACATTTAAATACTTTAGATATATGTGTAAATTATGTGTGAAAGAATGTATTTTTAATCAGTATGATTGAAAATAAACACCAAATAAAGCTCACATTATAAGAAAAATAAAAAAATCCAGGTTTATTTACACAAACAATTCCACCTAATGTCTGTATTCTTAATTCAAGATCTGGCCCTAACGAGGCCTCTCAGGTTGATTATGGAGTTAAGCTGCCAGAGCAGCCCACTGAAGCGAGGTTGAGCTTAACATCCTTCCAAGGACAGCTTGTATCTAACACAGGTCCTGAACGGGGAGACAAAGCTCAGTCAAGAATGGGAAGAATATTCTCTCTGAACTTTGCTCCTGAGTATTGAGATTTAAAGATTATATTATTTTCTAAGTATAGCCATTTCCCTCTAATTTCCAGACAGATATTGTTTATTATGTATATCTGGAACTGGGAAATTAGAGCAGCTGACAGGATATCAAGCATATCTTCTTCACACTAGACAAGTTTTTATTCTCCTAATCAGGGAGGATATCTCCTCTGAGTTTCTCAGAGCACAATATGGGGAAAATCTCTTTGGATTCATGCTTTCATTTAGAATTAAACAACGAAGTAAGCTGATTGTTTCAGAGCATCCTGCCAGCTCTATCGTACACTCATGTGTAACCATTAACTCGTGTTCAAACAAACCTAGCGTGTACTCCTACAGGTAGCCCTCTAATGCAAGGCTCCATTTGAGATATTAACCAGATATTACCAAAAATGGAAATTATTCCACCCAGCTGGCAAGTCCCCTCTATTTGGCCTTATACTTGCGGCTTCTCTGTATTCACTGTCATTTCCTTTATCCCTGATGATAAAACGATTAGCTAGCAACCGTTATGCTAACCACAAAGCTGGATGGGTAGGTGATGGATGGGCTAAGTGATAGACTCAGGCGGTTGCTTGGAGGGCTTTGTCCTGGATCTCTGACACCTTCTATCTTCTGATCCATGCAACCCCCCTTTTGCCTCCATCCAACCCCCAGATCCTCCCCAGTTACCCCCACCAGCTGCCTCTGACCCCTCATCATAGCCCTGCCTCTGCTTGCCATGTGCTGGGAGTCAAAGGGTTCCCACCTATCGCTCATCAGAATGGAACCCCACCATCTCCTGCCCTACACACTAAATCACAATCAATCGCATGGCAGACAGAGATGGATTGGGACGTCCACGACCCTGTACCTTTCAGGGAGGCCCCTACCGCTCCAAAGGGCTGCTGTCACTGACAAATAATAGAGGTGATTCTAGGAGGAGTGAGCAGGTCAAGTCTGCCGCCCCTGGAAGGAAGTTATCACAAAGCCATGGAGGGAAATTCTTTTCTCTTTAGGAACAACAGTCACAATGTCTAACAGCATGTCTGACAGAAGGATGTGTGCTAGAGAAAGCTTTGCTTTGATGCTAAAAAATGACTTTATAATAAAATTTTTATCTATCTAAATGTAATTTAGTGCAGCAAATATATTCTTATGAGGCTAAATTGATTAGTCTTATGGGGCATATCAATATGTTGTTTTCTGCTACTCTTCAATAGCTCACAAGGGTGTATCCCCCAAATTAAATCTCTTACCACAGAAAGGTTCAATATTAGATTTGTACAGAAAATAGAATAGTTTATGTTTATGGGCACCTGGAAGGAAGAGCTACAGTGCTGTGCATAAGCAGTGTTTGATAATTTCATTTTGGCAAACGATATCACTCTTTATTATTTAGACACATCTCTTGCACTTCAACTGTCTTCTTGTTTCTTTAGCATGAGCATTTTCATATAACATACATGCATCAATCCAATTATGCCCAATATGCCAAGCTAACGGTTAGCTAGCCAATTGGGTAAATCTATAATGTTAACTTAATGTTTATGTTAATTAATTCAAATGAGTGTGCTTTCTATCAAATTTTATAAAAGATTATTATAAGATAATTTC